CCCCAAAACCCCAAAACCCCAAAACCCCAAAACCCCAGATAATTTATAATAAATTGAATTCTTATTAATGGAAATCAAAAATTTTGACCAAGTTCCTTCCTCCAAAGCTAAAGACTAATAAAAAGGATTTATCATATCTGTTCTATTAACATTATGCAATAAGGATTCTATTTCAAAACCAAACAATTTTGCACAACATAATGACCCTTCAAAATAATATTTAACAAATGATAGAACAGAGTGCTTAAGGTTTACCTAGCAGTGTCCTAATCATAAAACCTCAGGAGACATTGATTGCAAATTTAAGCTAACCCTATAATACACCCTAAGCATAGTCTATTGACCAGCTAATGTATGACTTGACTACCAAATATAGCTCATCTAAAGATAGATACCGCATTTATATTACTCTTTGCCGTATTTCTAAGAAGACATTTTAGATAGGTCCTTGCAAAATGAAGCTCATGGATTGAAAAGAAACTTTACCTCTTAAGGAATTGAAAGAGAGTTACTTAAAAACAGAGCGATCCTTGTTTATTTGCGGAAACTCTGGCCTTTAAGAATTTGCAAAACCTGTATAAACCCATTAAAATATTTTTATTTTGAACCTGTCTCTGAAGTGATAAATATGGTTTTTAATGCCCTAGCAAAGAATTCCTCCATTTCAAGACGAATACTATCGAAAAATTCAAGGACTTCTTCTAGCTCATTAAAGATTTGGAAGAGATCAATACAAAACTTTTAACATTCACAGGAAGAAGTGAACTGTTTATGCTCTACTGGTGTTTACAAAGGCCAAAGTCTGTTGGAGGGAAAGGGTTATTCTCTTAAAGCTATAATTAAAAGAACCTGATAATAGATCTAATCAGCCCGGTTACAAACCTACTTTTTGCTTGGAGAAACAGACCTCTTATGACTTCAGTTTTGTAAGATTATTGAGATGATGATGTATAAAGTTTTTCGAATTATATTAGCCTATCTCTCGGTGAATTCTTTAGGGAATCCAACTAGACTTACAAGTAATTCTGTTCAGTGAATGACGTAGCGTTCTAGCATAGCTTTTCATAGATTTTATTAAAGAAGTAGTTGAGAACTTCATAATTAATGTTTGGATGTGAAAAAAGCTCTAAATTATTAGTTTTTGATTTTGAAAGCCGTCGCAGACTTTTTATACGAGATAAACTATTATTAAACTCTTCTGCATGATGTAGTTATCAGTTCAATGAAATCTAGCTGCTTTGACTCATAAAAGAAATCTTAAATCTTAACAGGGTTCTGAAATATCCCTTATTAAAACTCTTTTTAGTTATGAAAGCCAACTTTATCTTTATTTTACAATAATAGAAATAATTTAGAGAACATCATGAAGCCATAAGAGCTTCTTTTGTCACTCAGATTAGCTTCTAGTGTTTAATACTTAAGCTTGAAAAGCTTTAGAAAATAAAAGCTGAAATTATAATCCTTATTAATAATATTGAGGGTCTTCTTCACTAAAATCCTGAAAAATGCTTCCAAAGAAGTTATTCGTTGTTATTTTCTCGTGTAGACTATTATTTGTGTAAGGGTCTCTTAACCTGGAACTTAGAACACCCAATCACTTGTTTAATAACATGTCTCATTAGAATAACCTCAATTCTTTGTAGTATAAACCAAGCATCAAGTAAGAAACAACTTTGTCATTATTTTATCACAATTTAATAAGCTGGCTTTCACTAAATCCAATAAAATGAACTAGCTTTATTTATCCAAGAAGGCCTACTTCCTTTCGTCCACCACATTCACACTCTTGTTCGTACGATACTCTGTGTTCAGGCTGGGTTCTAGAATTGTTAACCCAGCGTTTTGGAAGATTTTGAATGACATCTGTTAGCAATGTTGCCTTATGACAAATTCTTTTACTTCTATATAGAGATTGCAACGGAATTTTGATAATTTACTGCACTCTATATGGATATTGCTTGACTGCGATCATTCAATTATAAGACCTTATTGAGGGGTTTTGGGGTTTTGGGGTTTTGGGGTTTTGGGG